TTCTGTATTGTTCCTTGAACCATAGATGCAGGGTATGTGATATAAATGTATCAGGGCTGGGTTCTTTATGATGGGTTGATCTCTGCATTGTGTACAGTTATGTTTTTTTGTTTTTGTTTTTAATGATATCCAATGGCTGTAAAGAAAAAAAAATCATTTGGGCTGGAGAGATGGCTCAGCAGTTAAGAGCACTGACTGCTATTCCAGAGGTCCTGAGTTCAATTCCCAGCAACCACATGGTGGCTCACAACCATCTGTAATAGAATCAGATGCCCTCTTCTGGTGTGTCTGAAGACAGCTACAATGTACTCATATAAATAAACTAAATAAATCTTAAAAAAAAGAGAAAAGCTTCATTTATGAAAGAGGTAAATACACTTATTTATGGGTGTAAGGATAAAATTTAAATTATAGTAAGGAATTATGCCGCAGTAGCTATAGATATAATTTTTAAATGAAATGAAGTATTTGTCTATAACCTATCATTTATATATTCTAGTTAATCTCTGGATTATTATAACACTACATACAATGTTTATGTCATGAAAACAGCTGATATAATGTATTGTTTCAAGAAAAATGCCAAGAAAAAGTGTAGATGTTCAGTAGATGTGCATTTTTTTCAAGATTGAAAATAAAGCTTTTTGATACAACATACTCATTTTCTCCCCTTTTTTCTTTCTTTAAAAATTAATTAATGTATTATTCATTTTACATCCCAGTTGCTGCCCCCCTTCTGGTTCCCTCCTTCACAAGCTTTTGTCTTGGCCATCTACTTCTGGGCTTGAGGCCTGCCCTTAGGTGTGATTTATATAACCAGTAAGACTCCCTTAAAGAAACTAATTTTTTCCTCTTTGAACAACTGTTAATTGGAGATAGCTTTTTGGTTGGGGATGCAAGATCATGTTTACTTCCTACTTCAGTGCATTGATCATGTCTGATTTAGACCCGTGCATGTCCTGCTCATGATACCACAGTCTCTGTGAGTTCAAGTGTCAGTTTAGTTGTGTCTAGAAGACCTTGTTTCTTGGTATCTTCAATCCCCATCGACTCTTACAATCTTTCTGTTTCTTCTTCAGTAAAGATCTTTGAGCCTTTAGGGGAGGAATTTGATGAAGAAATTCAATTTAGGATTGAATGTTCCACAGTCTCTTTTTGCAATTGTTCAGCTGTGGGTCTCTGTGTTACTTCCCATGCATTGTAAGAGGATGCTTCTCTGATGATGGCCGAGTGAGACACTGCTCTATGGTGGCAGCCAAATGTCATTTAGAATAATTTTATCGCTTTGTTTAGCAAAACAATAGTATTTGGTTTTACCTCATGTTCTCAGGTCTAGTCTTAGGCTCTTGGCCACACTAGCAGTGCCAGGCATGGGTTCCATCTCATGAAGTGGGCCTAAACTTCAGAGAGTGGTTGGTTTCTCCCACAATGTTTGTGCCATTATTGTACCACTGTGGTATGAAGGTAAGTCATCATTGTAGATTGGTTTGTAGCTGGATTGGTGTTTACATTTCTTACATAGTAGTATGCAGAGTAACTTCCAGTATTGTGAACACTAGTCAGTAAGGATGAAGGCTCTAATTAGGCTCCAGCTCAACCTTTCCATGTTTAATGAGATATGTTAATTGTTGTCTTCAGCAATAGGGCCTTACCATCAGCTTTTGGAGGAAACCAGTAGCTTTGGTTTGTTTGGGGGTTTCCATGGCCACTTTTGGCTAACCACTCAGTTAGATGTAACCCATTCTGGCACTTAAGGATTCGCTTGGCAAGAGATGTCTAGTTGGGCTTTCTCATCCCCATTATTTGGTGACTCTATTTAGGTATCTTTTGTGTATGTATATGTTTTAAAAAGCTTCTATTGTAGTAGGTTTCTGTAAGACCCCTCAAATGTGAAGCTCTTTGCTAAAGTCTGACTAATACAGATGTGCATGCTCCCACTCAGCCATCAGACTGAGCATGGGGACCCCAACGGAAGAGTTAGGGGAAGGACTGAAGGAGCTGTAACCCCATGGGAAGAACAACAATATCAACAACCAGACACACATTCCCTTCCCCCACCCCCTTGCCCAGGACTAAACCACTAAACAAAGAGTACACATGGAGGGACCCATGACTTCAGCTGCACCTGTAGCAGAGGATTGCCTTATCTGGCATCAATGTGGGGGGAGGCCCTTGGTCCTGAGGAAGTTTGATGTCCCAGTGTAAGGGAATGCTAGGGCGGTGAGGTGGGGGTATGTGGGTGGGTGGAGGAGCACCCTTATAGAAGCAGGGGGAGGGATAGTAGGATAAGGGTTTGTGGAGGGGAAACTGGGAAGGGTGATAACATTTGAAATGTAAATAGATAATATAACCAATAAAAAAAGACTGCTCAAGTGTCCTTTTGAGTTATCTGTCCATCCTTGAACTACCACCTTTCTGCTCATCTTTCTTTCTCTTCTCATTCAATCTTCCTATTCTAGTCTCTCTCCTGTATCTCTCTAACTATACATCTATTTTTTCTTCCCTGAGAGATCCTCATTTCCTACCTAGTTCTTTACTCTATACCTAATGTCTATGGTTACACTGATAGTAGCATGCCTATTGAAGGCTTAAAAGCTTAACATTCAATTATAAGAGAATACATGCATATTTATCTTTTTTGGTCTTGGTTACCTCACTGAGGATGGTTTCTTTCCCTAGTTCCACCCATTTACCTGTGAATTTAATTTAAAAACAGAATGTTAATATATGGTAATAAAATAACATTCCTGATCCATTTATCTGTTGAGACCAAATCATTTCTATAATCAAGTCTAATATATTTTCATCTCCAAAAAGGACCAATATTGAAGGACCAGTAATGCTAACTAATAGCATATAGTAATAAATAAAATTGCCTCTCAGTAAAACAGGACAGGCATATTTATTGATGGAAAAAATAGCAGGAAAATATATCAATTAAAAGGACAAACTGAGTTTTTAACTAAGGCCAGAATATTCAATGATGAAGTGATTGTATTTTAAATAAAATTGCAGTTAAACTGGAGAGCAATAAAGAAAATATTTGAGGGCTGGGGAATGGCTCAAGAGCTTGCCACTATTCCAGTGGAAAATAGTTTGGTGGCTCACAACTGCTTGTAACTACAGTCCCAAGGAATCCAATATCTTATTCTGGCATCTATAGGTACCTACACAAATGTGGCAATACTCCCCCTCCCAAATATATAACAATAATATAAACCTTAAAAATGAAAGCAGTGAATCTGAACATTTATTCTATCCTACACACCTATATTAATCCACAGGTCCTAATGTATGTTAAATATAAATGTATATTACATTTAAAAGCTGATAGAAAAGATAGAGGAATTCTCTATAAATCATTAATAAAAGGAAAATATATACTCTAATTGGGAGAAAATATTACAAATTGTGCATATATTACATGAATATTCTTGTAATATCTATGTTTATATCTGAAAAACAGCATATTTAAAACACATAAATAATTTTACAGCCACAAGATGGTTGGTGGTAGATTTTTTTCAGTGTGCTGCTCATCCCTGGGATCAATCACTAATACTGCAGAGAGAAGAATACTTATTATGAGGGAACACAAATGAATAGTAGAAGTATGTGATATCTCCCTCCCCAGAAATGTGGTGAATGCAGTCTTGTTTTTTTCCATCTGGAGAAGATTTATTTGTGTGTCAGAGAAGAAACAAGGCTTATACCTATAGACAGAAAATCAAGTTGCCAGTAATGTTATGTAAAACTAGAGTGTCCTAATTTTGGGATTGCTTTCCTGAAATGAACTTTGCTTAATGGGCTGGTACCAGCTGATTTATCTTGTTAGTATTTGGGTTATGACTGACATTTCCACATTCCTACCTCAGTATATGAGTCTAAACCTTCTGAAAACATTGGGAAATGTCGCAAGCCACAGCCTATATTCCTCTTGCCTCTCCCTGTGATTTTACACACTGCTGAGGCCCAGAAAGGAGTTAGGATAAGTATTTTCAGCTACTTCATTTAATTGTTGTGTGACATTATGATTGATAACTGTTCTGCAAACTCTGCTATGTTTGTTTTGTTTTTTCCAAATGGCAAGAACACTAGTACATATTATACTTCTGTATTTAAGCCTGGTCTTCTATATATGTTATAATTTTTGGGAGAAGAATGTTAAAGAACATAAAGCATTAATTTTTGGAGAATGTTTCTGCTATGTAGCATCAGATCTGTATTTAGTTTTGTTTTTCTATGATGTAGACCTTTCATGGTGTATGTGGGCAGATAGGTGGAGACTCAAGCTGTATTAAACAGGAATGAAATTGATATACATTTCCCTGACTTTTATGTCAGTTTCCTAATTTCTTACAGAAACTGTTAGGAAAAGAGTAAAATTTTCCTCTAGTATTCCAACATTTGTGAGGATCTATTCTTATATTTTTCTTTCCCCCTTTTTCCCATACATACTTACTGAGGACATGATCTTTCACATTTCACTTTACAATATCAAGCAGAATAATTATAGGAAAATATGAACAGCAAAAATATCCTTAGAGAAGAGCACATGCCCCTTGACTCCTTTGAATACCAGAGTCTACATAATAGAAATATTCAGGCAAAATTGATTAAGCACTTCTAATAGATTTACTTTAATTTTATTGTTTGATGAAAGTTGTTTAGAAAAAGAAAACTCATTAAAATGAACAAAAGTGGGGTTGAAGAGATAGCATCTTTTGGCATCAGCATACTTGTGGCATATATACCTACATTAAAATTAAGTAAAGCTTTTCACGAAGCACAAAAGCAACACTAAACACATCCCCCTGCAGAGAGCATGAATGTAAGTTACTTTATTTAATTATTTGAGTTGTTTTTCTATACCTATTGAATAAATTGATATGATGAAATAATGCATTTAAGCCATGTGCCACTCAACATGTGCCATGATATCTGAGGTTGAGAAATAGCTTTCTTGAAAAACTTTGTTGAGTTATAAATAGATGTTCAAATTATAAGCATTTCTTCCCTATCTTTTTGAATGCTTCTATTACATCTTGGTTTCTCAGACTATAGATCAACGGATTCAACATGGGAATAATTATGCCATAAAATACAGAAGCTGCCTTTTCTTGTTCTTGAGATTCATTGGTATGGGGGTGTAGATACATATAAGAGAGAGTCCCATAGAAAATGGTGACTGCAGTCAAGTGGGAGGCACATGTGGAGAAGGCCTTTTTCCTTCCTGCAGCAGAAGACATCCTTAGGATGGCAGCTAAGATATATATGTAGGAAAAGATAACAACCAACACAGTGCTCATCAGGTTGAACCCCACAAAGACTGTCAGTAGCATGATGCTAAAGTCAATACTGGAGCACGATAGGGCAAGAAGGGGAGGTTCATCACAGAAAAAGTGATTAATGGCATTGGATTTGCAGAAGTTCAGTGAGAATGTAAAACTTGTGTTTACAGAAGCATTTAGGAAGCCCATGGTATATGAACCAACCAGCAGTAGAATGCACAGTCTCTGGGACATGACTATGGGATAGCGCAATGGGTTACAGATGGCCACATAGCGGTCCACAGCCATAGCAGCTAGGATGAAGCAGTCAATGGTTGCAAAACTACCATAGGCTAGTAGCTGTAACATACATCCTATGAAGGAGATGGATGCTTTAGTCTCTGTGAAGTTTTTTAACATCTTGGGAGTAATAGCTGAGGTATAACAGAGATCAACAAAGGCTAGATGTTGTAGGAAAAAGTACATGGGAGAATGGAGGGAAGAATCAATTTTGATGAGCAGAATCATTCCAATGTTACCCATGAGAGTGACAACATAAATCACTAGAAATATTATGAACAGAATGTGCCACGATTTGTGCTGCCCAGCAAATCCCAGAAGAATGAATTCAGTCACTTTGGTGCCATTACTTTGTTCCATGGTTAGTAAAAAAATTAAAAAATCATCTGAAGAGTTGCAAAGAAAGAAGAGTAGAGAGGGCTGAGGACATTATCCCTGAACATATTCCACAATGTTTAGTTTCAAAATAGGAATAAGAAAACTTTCTGTGATACAACTCATGTTTGTTTTTAAGGATAGTATGAGGAGCTAGGTACAACGGCTCACATATGCAATCCCAGAACTAGGGATGTAGAAGTAGGAAGATTTAGGACCAACTGGGGCCATGAGACCAAACAACAAGGCAAGAAAAACAAAACAAACTGACTAATACATGGCATGCCAGCTTATGCAGTTCCACATAGAGTTTGGAGAGGAGTCATCTAGCAGTATCTGTGTTCTCAAGGGCAAACAAGCATGCCATAAATACACCAACAAACAAAGATAGAAAGAATAGCTTATTTAGTTATTTATCTAATAGAGTATAAGTTATATATGTGGTTCGTGTGCATGTGTTTTCATTTCTGTGGACCTGTGTGGGGGCCAAGTGTTGACATCTGGTGTCTTCCTCCACTGCTATCTGTGCCAGTTTCTCAATGAACTTAGAGCTTGCCAGTTTACATAGACTGGGAGTAACAATAAGCTCCCAGGACCAGCCTAACTCACCTCCCTAGTGTTAGGATTATAGATGAATGTTGCTATTCTTGGCGTAAATTTTTTTTATATTAAAACAGTTTAAATAGTGTGTGTGTGTGTTTGTGTGTGTGTGTGTGTGTGTGTATCCACATGTGCAAGCTTCTTTGTGTGGATGTGGAAATCAGAGGTCAGTATCAGGTGTTTTCCTGTATTGCTAGTCAGTGTATCTTTTGACTCAGGATATCTCACTGGATATAAAACTTGTTAGTTTGGCTAGATTGGCTAGCTAGGTATCCCCTGGGATCTTCTTGTCTCTACTTTAGTTCATACTAGGTTACTGGTGTACATCACTGTGCCTGGCTTTCATATTGGTGTTGGAGTTCTTAACCATGTAGTCACATCTCCAGCCCTAAAACATGCTTTTATTTTACTATATTTTCTCATATGTTCTTTATGTTTTAATGTAAACACTCTAATTTACTTATATCTTAACCTTAGATCCAAAAACTTTGACTTCGTAGGGTTCTATGTGGTCTTGCTTCTCTATATTCGCTCATTCCCCACTTTCCTTTTATTATTGGGTTCTTGTAGTCATGACTCATGGTGTGTCACATTCTCTATGGAAGCATTTCTACATGTCATGTGTTCATATTCTCTCTCAATTTGCTATATGTAGTATTTTCATAGAGTATTAAAAAGATTTTAGTGTTGTCACAAGTCTACATAGTTTTAAATGATCCATTCCAATTCCTTATTCATACCATCATGGTTTAGAAGTGCAAAGCTCCATGTTTGATGCTGATCCATGGACAAATCTTTAAGTAGCTCTGCCCAATGGTGTCTCTTTCACAATTATCTATATGTTTTCCTAGGGATGGAGAGCAAGTCACAGACCATTCTTTTTTTTGGGATTTGAGTCCCCCATGGGTTAAAGATTTTCAGAGATTATATCTTTCATATCTTGTGTTTAATGTGATTTTTTTGTTTCCTTATTTTATTTTTTTTTTAGTATCTACATGTGTATACATGCCTGCATGTCTGTGCACACATATGGAAGCTAGAAGCAAATCTTTAGAGTTGTTTCTCAGTTGCCCTTTACCAGTTTTGGAGACAGGTTCTCTCGTTAGCCTGAAGCTCTCTGAGTAGTCTAAGTCAACTGACTAGAGAACTCACAGATCTGCCTGTTTACTTCTCTAGCACTGGAATTACAGGTTCTTGCTGCTATAACTAACTATGTTTTTTGTTTTCTTTTTCCTGAGGACTCAACTCACATTTTCATACTCACAGGGTAAGCACTTTACTTACGGTGCTGGATCTTGCCAGCCTCAGTATTTATTTGTTGTTCTAAAGAAAATGGATAGTGAAGAGAGGGATTGATAGTGGTTGGTATGTATGATTTTTTCAAATAGTTAAATATTTTAAAATGATTTTTATGTGTATAAGCATTTTGCCTACATGTATGTAAATGCATTGCAAGCACATGTGGTGTCCATAGAGATGTTGGATCCCCTGAAACTGGAGTGATAGACAGTTGTGAGCCACCATGTGGGTGATGGCATCAAACCTGGGTCATTTGCAAGAGCATTAACTGTTTTTTTTTTAATTGAGTCATCTTCCTGCCATCACTTGAATATGCTCAAAATACTAAAAGATTTGACATCATATTTAAAAGTCTACTTACACAATAGCATTACTTGTTTCAGTAAATATATGGAAGAACTAATATTAATGTTTTTATGTATAAGATATACATAAGTTGCATATGATCTCTATATTTCAGATACTAATCCTTTAATGTTTATATATGTCACAAACAAATTTACAGTTAGTATCCAGTCCTTTGGTAATATACATACATACATACATACATACATACATAGTTATCCTTAAAAATCTTAAAAGAAAATCTCCAACTCATTTCATGAGGTGAATTTAACTCTGATATCCATGTAAGAAAATTGGATAGCAATTGATTGATGTAGTATAGATGCAAATATCTTTAAAGTATACAATTACTCACAAATATAGGTATGTATAAAACAATGTTTCAGAGGAAACAGAGGATGCATCAGAAAACATCTATTTTCCTTCCTTTTCCATATTTTTTTAACCAGAGAAAGAAAATAAACTGCATTTAATGGAGAGTATAATGTAATATAATCTTTAGATATCTGGGAAAAAAACCTTTAAACTTATTGGGTAAGTTAGTTGGCAACAAACACAGAAAGCAGGCAGACTTACCATCTATTCTTGTCAGCAGTGGGTAGTAATGTCTTTTGCAATTGTAGGACAGCACTTCTAGGGTGTGTTGACTCAGAGCTTTAGTAGAACCGGAGCTCCCAGGCAGCTTTGGGTAAAGCAGAGCAAGCTGGGCTGTTTTCAGATTCCCTAGTAAAACATCTCATTCAATTTTTCTAGGAATGAGTACATAGAATGCACAATAACTTCCATGGTAACATATTAAAAGGATTTGATCTTCTCAGCATGCAGCAAAAATTACTTGGTAAAATTCAGTAAACCTTCATGATAGACTACTAGAAAAATGGAAACGGGGCGGGGGGATGGAGAATTGAATTAAATTGCTGTAGTGTTTTCTACCATATTGGCATGTTAAACATTATTTGCAAATTATGAAATGTAGTGCTTATAACTGAAGGAATATGCTGATAATGCCTTCCATCCCTGGATCTAGTCAACATAAGTCCTAGCCGGGGCAGAAGGGCAGACAAGGGAAACAAATGGAACCTTAAGCATATGGAGAGACCCACAGCTGTTACTATTTATAATGATGTATTTGTCTTCACGGAGCATCTCAGAATTAACGTATAAATTCCTAGTGTGGTTTGCGACAACATTAGATATAAGTCTAACATACAAAGGCAAATTCCATTTGTATTGACAACAGACAATGATTTTACTAATTGGATTTACACAATTTTGTAATACATCTAATGGATTCTGATTGTTCTCACTCTCCACCGTCTTTCATCTCCCTCCCATCCCATCACTCCTCCCTCAGCTCCTCCCTACAGGTGCCCTTTCTACTTTCGTGTCTTTTTGTTCTGTGTCTCACTGATCTTATTCAGGGCCATATGAGTGCTGATGGGTTTGGACTCTACACTGGACTCTAGTGGACTCACTTGTCGATATACAAGTGGAGAAAATGACTTGCCTTTTCCCTAAATCAAGATATATCATTTTTATTTAGAATGTTTGTTTAGAGGTGAGATTATGGATTAGTATTTGAACACTTATCTAATATCTTTGAAGCCTTTGGCTTTATCCCTAGCTTTGAAGTGAAAAAAACAAAACAAAACAAAAAAACCCAAAAATGAAACACAAAACCAAAATACTACAATAACCACAAATACAAATTGTATAAGTACCAATCTAGCAAAGAATGTTTATAATACTCATTGAGAAAAAAAATGAAATTTTTAGGGGAATAAAGAAGACTAGAATTCAGAACTGGGTTGTGGTTAAGAACATCACACTGTAAACATTACAACTCACATTAACTTACTAATTCAACATAATTCCTACCAAACACTAAATAGAATTTAAAATATACTTCAACAAGCCTATTCTAAATTTTATATGGGAGAGAAAAGAGCCAAGGATATCTAAGATAATTTTAAATGAAAACAAGGTGGGAACTTGTTCTACCAGATTTTAAGAGTTCACATAAAGCAGTTATAATAAAGACAGTCTGGTACAGGTGACAGGGGAAACTATTATATCTGTAGAACTTGGAAAATGAAATGCTAACCAGACCCATTAGTCTGCAGAAAGCTGACATATGAAAGCAGAGCACTTAGGCTCTTGAAAAATGATCCAATATATGTGGTGCTGTGAATGTCTATATGTATGCAAAAATAATATTGGATTCCTGTTTTGAATTTTATAAAAGCAGCTACAGATGAAATATTTGGATTTTAAAGCTTTGACAGTAAAATATAGCAGAACAAATATGACTTATATACACAGAAAAAATTTAAAGGAGACACAAAAACACAGGCAAAAAACATTGTAAACATTACCAAAGGACAGAATACTAACTGAAAATTTGTTTGTGACATACTTAAATGTCAAAGGATTAGTAGCCAGGCTATAGAAATGATTTCCGAAAGTGAATCTCAAGGAAAAATTCACAAATGACATAAAGCAGGTAGTTACTATAAAGAAACTCTAATGATCAATAGAAACAAGAAAAGATACTTGTATGCAAATAATTCATTAAAGTATAATTTTGTGTTTATCAATTTAAAATGAGCAGTTAGTTGAAAATATATAACTTCATGATCTCACAAATTTCTGCTAGAGAGGTGAATTATCTCATCTGGAGACAAATTTAGAAATATTAGTAAAACTAAAGCCACCCTTTCCTGTGATTTGGAATTTTCAGT